CTAGAATTCTTTTTCCTAAAATTCCATGATTCTCCTATTTACACTTATTTTGTAGGTTGCGTGTTTCCTGACATATAGGAGGCACTCAAATATGTAGGTTAGCTGAAAAGTTCTTTTTTTTTTTACCAGTCTTCTAAGTCACCCATGGTTATGTCAGGTTTAAAGGAAAGAGGGCTCTTCATTAGTTGCGGGGATCAGGCAAACCTTCATGAGAAGAGGCAGTTGGCTCTTGACAGACACAAGGCTTTAAATAGTCCTGGTGGTAAAACATCTTCATCTTAAGTTTAAGATACTTGGTTAGATGAGTTTTGAGAGGAGTTATATCCAGACGGCAGCCTCAGAGGGCCCTATGTGTCAAACCTCATAAAAAGACAGATATATTCGGAAGTGTCACTAGTGCAGCAGCCTTGTTTCTAATAATGATGTATGATTTATTAACCACCAGTAAGTTAAACCGTGTGCTGGGAAGATTCCTACAGTAAAAAAAAAGTATTTATTCATTTGTTTATTTATTTTAGCTGGGTTGGGGGCAGAGAGCAGAGGTTGAGTTGGGTTTCATAGCATTGCATTTGAGGGACCTGTGTGACCTCCATTTGGAGAATATAATAGGCCATTGAAAAGCCTTGAGCACAGAAGAGGTGTGTGAGCTGAAGGTGAAAGTGTAGGTGTCATTAGAATATGGAGATAGTATGTAAGGCTGTGGGAAGAGAGAAGAATACCCTGAGCAGAGACAGGGCTCAGGCACAACCTGGGAGTAACTCAGGTTTCTTCCACAGAGATGAGAGTAAAGGAAGCAATGGAGTATAATTATATTGCTTTTCAAGGTGAGAAGGAGAAGGATTGGAAAAAGCCAAGTGAGATGGCTTCAATCTTTTTTTTTTTTTTTTTGAAGGCAAAATGATCTACAGGAACTTAGAGGGGCAGCGGGGTGAAGGGTGAGGGATAGGGGGTGGGAAGTTAGTATTTGAGATAGCTGTTGTGGGAGTATTACAGGGAGTAAAGATAAAGTAGATACAGGAGTTCTGAACTATTCTGATGGCCCAGCTCAGATGGGTAGAGGAAGCAGGTGGTGTCTGGCGAGGACAAGGGCTATCCTATCACCAAGTTTGTATCCGCAGCAGGTGCAGGTGCTCCATAAAATTGGTTGAATTGAACTGGGTGGTCTGATGCTGGAAATTTGCAAAGCAAGAGCAGTGGCAATCCGGCAGGCTAGGGAGTCTACGGGTGGGGAGGGAGACACGGGAAGCCTGATTTGGTGTTTAGTAGGTGAAGAGGAAGGCGCTCAAGGCCCGGAAGGCCCAGCGCAGCGCAGAGTATTCAACAGAGCTGGGAGCTTGAACAAGTAAAAGAGTCCTGTGATGATAATGCAAATTGTTTTACCTTGCTATCGAGTCACTGACAGAGACGCTTAACACCTCTATAAAACATTAATCTTTATTTCATCAAAATTTTAAAGCAGCACTTCAAAAGGAACAGTCTGTTTTTTCAAACCAGGTCAGTGATTGCGGAAGCCTCCACAGTTCAGCTCGCCACAGTCTTTCTCCTTAGCTTGCCAGGTCACGTCCTTTCATCACAAAGCTACCATTTTGAGATAATTTGTTAAAGATAAATTGCATCCTTGTCTTGTTTGAAGATCTCTGTGTGCATCCAGATGAACCATTTTAAGAAAAGTTTTAAAGTGATTAGAGAAATTTTTATTTTATATTTTAAAGCAAACTTTTTTGGAGGGGGTATATTTCACACAGAAATATTTTGTTAAAGTGAGAGGCCTGTAGTAAAATATAATTTGACAAGCTGTCCTTCTGGTACCTTGGTGGAGTTGGCTTCCGCCCATTACTCCTGTCACCCAGAGGCTGTCTTCCTGTTCTTTCTCTTAGGATTTATGGTTGGTAGAGACTATGAAGCTGAAGGAATTGCCAAGGATGGTGCCAAGATGGTGGCTGCCGTAGCCTGTGCCAATGTACCTAAGATAACTCTCATCATTGGGGGATCCTACGGGGCTGGAAATTATGGGATGTGTGGCAGAGCATACAGGTAGGTGATTGTCTTGATTTTCTCTGAAAGAGTTACACTTCAAGTATAATTATAAGGGCTCAGGTTTATTGGAAATATAGAATGGCATTCACAAATCTTTTTTTTTTTTTTAAAGATTTTTATTGGGGTATTGGGGGGATGGGAACAGTGCTGGGGAATTGGGGGAAGGGGAACAGACAAGTTGCTGTCGTTTCGGTCTTCAGTCTAGCTGTGGAGGATGTTACTTCACTGGCCCAAGTTGACACCATCATTGCGCTCTTCCCGGGCGAGGCAGATCAGTCACCAGCTTCTGGATGGCCGCTCACTGTGGCTGCTGGCTACTCACGCTGGCTGCTGGCTACACACGGTAGCCCATGGCAACCCACTACCACAGGGGCTGCAACCTACGCCGTTGTGGCGACTCATGGCTGCCCAGCTCCAGGTTGAGCTGTTGTTCAGCATCTTAGCTGCAGAGGGCAGTGTCACTGGCCCTCATATGTGGGATCCGAACTGGGGCCCTATGGCGTCCCAAGCCAGTTCTTAACCATCGCGCCACTCGGCTGGCCCAGCATTCACAAATCTTGATTAGCTTTAGCATAATTTGTATCATCTGGAGAGGTGAAATGAAAGTTAGTGCTAAAAGTACCGCTTGGAAGAAAATCACAATGGAAATCAAGAAATATTTTGAAATGGCTGATAATGAAAATTCTACGTATCGTAACTTGTGTGATGTGGCTAAAGTCTTGTTTTGAGGAAGGTGTGTAGACTTAAATATATTCGTATGTCATGGAAAAGAAGTAAGGCTGAAAATCAGTGAACCAAGTAGCCAGCTCAAGACGTTCAAAGAAGAACAGCATTTTTAAATTTCTTTTGTTTACAAAAGAAAAATAGGAAACACGACATAATAAAGAGCAAGCATAAGACAGAAGAATCAGGAAAGCCTAAAGTTGCTTTATTTGGAAGGTTAACCAACTTTTCACTAAAAAATGAAGCGAGAAGGTACACATAATATCAGGAATGGAAAATAGATATGACCGTAGATGATAAGAGGATATTTTGAATACTTTTATGTCAAATAAGTTTAGATGAACTGGAAACATACAGTTTATCAAAACAGACATCAGAATCACCTGGAGAACTTAGAGCCCTAACCTGGCTCAGGCACCACCTCTGGAGGTTAGTGGGCAGTGGGTTCCAGGCACTGATATATTTTTTAATTCCCAGATGATTGTAATGTGCAGCTAAATTGAAGAACCACTCGTTTCAAAGGTAAACATGGACCTCTGAAAATCTCTGTGTTGTACAGTGAATTAATGGGATCATTCTTTCTTTTTTCCCCCATAGCCCAAGATTTCTTTACCTGTGGCCAAATGCTCGTATCTCAGTGATGGGTGGAGAGCAGGCAGCCAATGTGTTGGCGACAATAGCAAGAGACCAAAGAGCACGGGAAGGGAAAGAGGTAAGTGCCCCTTCTCCTCCATCTCTGAGTTTAGCTTTCACCCATGAACACCCAGAGCAGCACCCCCAGACTCCCTCCATGTTCGTGGGTCAGGGAGGGGTCCAACTTGCAGGGCTGGGCTTTTGAGAAGACACTGACCTGGAAGTTGTTTCTGGAGCTTGGGCTTACACATTCTCTGTCTCTCTCATTTCATTTGAGGTACCTTCTTGTGGTAATTTACAAAATTTTCAGAATCCCAAGAACACACTTCAAGAAACTGCCTGCTGAGTGCCAAAGGCAAAAAGATGTTTGATTCTTACTCATTCACAATTAGTGAGCTTTAAATAAATCTGATTTACTTCTTTGATTTTATGACCTAAAGCAGCGGAATTTTGTTTTTTCTATTTTATTTTTAATTATTGTTAAGGATACCTTGAGGGGAGGGCTCAGTCACCTAATGAGAGCTGATGAACGTTGTTATACTGTGAAAGTATAAATGAAGAAAAATAGAAAGGGCACTGGAGGCTTCATGAAAAGTAAACCAGCAAGTGGCTGTTTTTAAAATGAACTCCTTTGTTTGTGTCTCTGTTAGAGAGTCTTCTGAATTTTGCACTCATTTTTATTAGTCTTAGCTTTTACCTACTTTGTATAAGCACCAAGCCTTGAAATGCATGTTCCTGAAATTGCTAGGTGCACTGTTTCATCATGAAAAGGCCTAACATTGAGGAGGCCCTGTCCCCTCAGGCTCTCAGTCCTGCCATTTAGGGAGCATCTGGTCAGGCGCCTGGTCTGGGGATGGGAATAACATAAAGCCGGAGGGTGGTTCCTGCTTCCCTGGGTACATCTCACCTGTGCCTCACATCCCCAGTCGTCTTTTCCAAGCAGCAGACACTCTGCAGACTTCAACTGAGGTTTCCGATTAATACTGACTAGTGTCCACGCAAAAGGAAAGCTTTACTTATGTGTGTGTGTGTTGGAGGGACGATTCTAATATTTTGAAGATATGTCTTAAACTCTAGCCCAGTGTGGTGATCTCTTATTAAATAATTTTTCTTTGATTAATTTGATATACCGATGTATGAATTCACCTATCTTTATATATGAAAGGAAACTACAGGATTTTAGTGGTTCTCCCTCTGAATTCTTGACCAATAAATGATATTAAACTATAGAAGTACATAAAAGAAGGTTGGATTTATTTGAAATAAGTCATTTGTTTCCGATGTGGATTATTTTTTAAGTTGAAAATACTTTTTAGGGTTTCAGGATTAATTTGCATAAACATTTTTACATCTGAATTAATTATCACTTGTTTCTAAATTTTTAATTAAGGAAAAATATCTCTCACCTATTTGGGAAACTGAAGAGGTTATTCAAGGTGTGGTTGATGTTTTACCCCTTCAAGCTTTAAAATGTTTAAAATTTTGGCTATTTTGGATAAAAATCCCATACTTCACCTTCTTAAACAGAAACTGCTAAATGTAATATAACCCTTTTGTTATATTGTATAATTCACATCCGTTGTTGTACCCTGCTGGAATATGTGATAACCTTGGTTTTTACATTGAACAGCCAACCTCAGGATGTTGTCTCTGATAAGGGGGATGTGATGGTGCATTAATTTTTTTTTTATTAGTTTCAGGTGTACAAAGCAACGTTAGTTAAACAATTACCCCCTCACAAAGTGATACCCCCCCATCACTCCCCCCAGTCTACTACCGCTCTGACATCGTATGTAGTTGTTACAGTCCATTAATTTGATACTCATGTCTCAGGTGAGATTATGTATGTTAAGGCATTACTTGTAATCTATACATCACTGTGCAGATGTTGGTTGTAACATAATTTGTGACAGTCATCCATTTTTCTTGAGGTTCCCTTGAGTGGATCTGTTCCGCTACAGCAGACTAACTCATGGTCCCTTTTCTTTCAGTTTTCCAGTGCTGATGAAGCAGCTTTAAAAGAGCCCATCTTGAAGAGGTTTGAAGAGGAAGGAAACCCTTACTATTCCAGTGCAAGGTGGGAGCCAGAGAATAACTAACCCTTTGATAGGCACACGCTGGTAGTCAGGGCAGCAGCTTTACAGAGATCTGGGCAGTCAGGACACAATTTTGTACGTTGTCTCTATCCTGGGAATGTCTCCTGCTGAAACGCAGCCCTTTCTCCCACAGTTGGTCTGATGCTGCCACTCTTCACTCCTCTTCCTTTCTCCCATCCCTCCTTGAGGTGTCTGGGCCCTGAGTGACACTGCAGCCAGAAGTGGGCCACGCTGGGGCTGGGAAGTTAAGAGTCACAACCCTGGCTGTGTCATTTTCAGGAATTAGTTCTGTTATAATTTTTGTTAAACCCATGGATTTCTGTCATCCCCCCTCTCTTTGATTATTTTGTTTTTACCTCATTTTAAGCACAAGATTGCATACTTTTTGGCACTTATTAACAAGTGTGCTTTTGTTGTATATTCAGAAGGTGATTAGTCAGTCATAGCCAGGCTCCATGTGTCAGCGTCAAATAATTACCTCATACGCCTATGTAGCTCTTAGTTTTCTGTTTGTTTCTTATCCCACTTAATAAGGTAATAAATTATCACAGCCTGTCCCAGCTGGAGACTCGCTGGCATGTGCTTTCAGACCCCTTTTCCAACAACGCTAATGTTTTGCATTCTGAAGAGTAAGCTTTATGGGATCCTTTTATCCCTTGGGCAGATGGAAAAAAGAAAATTACAATTTGTATCTTTTGAAATTAGGTTATGCTGTGATTTATGCCATTTACTGGTGAAGGGAAACCAGAGAGGAGAGAGAAAAGAAAATCAAAAGTTAGAATCCATCTCAATCATTTGAATGTATGTTTAAAGACTGAACGTACTTATTTTAAGAGCATAATTAGTTTCAGACTTCAAATAATACCATTTGGGATTTTTAAAAAAGCCTGTTTCTCTTTTTGTTAGTATCAATTTTAATAAGCAATTTTACAGGTATATTTGTTGGGGTAGGTCATTGATTCATTGAATTAAGAACAAAATGTTTTATAGTCTTTGATTTGAGAACTAAACATGTTTTGCTTTTCACGGTAGCCAGTAGAAGCAGAGGAAATAGAAAACCATATAAAAGGTTTAAGAGAAAATATATATCGTAAGCACACCTACAGTTTTTTTAACATAAGATTTTAACTGAAATTCACAAGGACAGTTGAAATATTAAACTTTGAAATAGCATATTTTGTGTGAGTCATTAATTTGTTTTCAGCCCTCATTAAGTCATCTTTTGAGAAAGATTAAATCCTTTATTATTGTCATACTTACATTATTAGTATTATTTTAATGGATTATATTGAAGGCAGGAGAACAAATAGCCCAGATAGACTCCTATCTTTGGAAATAAATATTGAAAGACAGTAGGTTTTTCTGTTACTTTGTAGATGTTTAACCCTTCTGTTGAAACACTTGGTGGCATGGCGACAGCAACTTTCAAAGATGAAAGGATTTTCAAGCCACTTTATGGCATCTTCCTTGGGTTTAATAAATATCAGGTTTAGGCTTTCACATGGCTCCATCTTGTCTTTTCAGAGAGTGTTGTCATCATCTACTATTGTAACCTCCTGTGTTTTTCGTAATCCTTACGTTGTTACACACGCCGCATGCCAGTTTTATTCTGCTCAGTTGTTTTTATAATCAGACTTTTCAAGCATTTGATTAAGGCCTCTTATCCGGAGCAGTCTTTTTAGTGACCTGATAACATGAAGCAGTGCCCCCACCCCACGCCCACCCCCGCATCGTTGTGCTTGCTCTAGTACTCTGCTGTAGGCTTCAGGAGGGAGTGTAATCAGTGGACCTGCTTACGAATTACATGAGTGGCCTTTTTAAAATTGGCTATTGATGGTGCAGGGTCCCTATTATGAATGTTTTATGAGCAGAGATTTGATTCATGATCTGTCAATGTAAGTATGGTTTAATAATTGATGTTATGTCCAGATACTGAAGGCAGTTTGTTTAATGAAAGCAAAAACTGCCATCTACTAATGACCTTTAAAAAAGCAGTATTTCTCATTTATTTTTCTTATAAATTTGAGGTTGTCAATGAAAAGCAAACTAAAATTTCTACTTAAAAGTTTCTTCTGAAAGCAAATTTAAAGCTATTATTTGTTTTTCCTGTCGTAGCAGAAAATAAAGAACTACATAGGCAGGTATTAC